TTTTTTTTTTTTTTTTTTCTTTTTTTTTTTTCCTTATAAAGATGGCTCAATCTATGATTCATATAACACATCCTCCTTCCTTAATAGAAGAAGAAGGAGACACAAAAAAACAGCAGCAGCAGCAGCAGCAGCAGCAGCAGCAGCAGAAGAAGCAAGATGATATAGATTTACCTACTTCTTCTTCTTCTTCTTCTTCTTCTTCATGCGTTGAACTGTCTCCTTCTTCTTCCTCTTCTTCCTCCCTCCTCCCCTCTTCCTCCTCTTCCTCTTCTTCCTCCTCTTCTTGTTGGTGTAAGGATGTTGTATTGGATGTGTCTCCTCCTTGTTCATCAATAAAGGAGACAATAAATAATAGTCTCCTTCTTAATATACCTAATCGTTTATTATTAGGTCCTGGTCCCTCTAATAGTCATCCAAGTGTCTCCTTAAGTGTCTCCTTTCCTTTATTAGGTTATTTAGATCCTTATTTAATAAAAAATATAATAAAGGAGACAAGTATATTATTAGATTATTGCCTACAAACTAATAATAAATATATTAATATACCTATTAGTGGTACAGGTACTGCAGCAATGGAGACAGCTCTTGTTAATATTATTGATAAAGGAGACACTTTATTAATATTAAATAATGGTTATTTTGCTGATAGATTAAGGGATATAGCAATAAGACTAGGAGCAACAGCAGCAGCAGGAGGAGGAGGAGGAGGAGGAGGAGAAGGAGGAGAAGGAGAAGGAGGAGAAGGAGAAGGAGGAGGGAGAGGGAGGGGAGAAGGAGTAACTGTATATACAGAGGAGATACCTTGGGGGACAGTATTCACACTGCAACAGATAGAGCTGCTGCTGCAGCAATATAAGCCAACTATATTATGTGTAGTAATGGCGGAGACATCTACGGGGGCCCTACAGGGACTAGAGGGTATAGGGCCCCTATGCATGCAATATAATTGTATATTAATAGTAGATGCAGTTACTGGTCTATGTACATCCCCCTTATTAGTAGACCAATGGTCTATTGATGTATTATATAGTTGTAGCCAGAAGGGACTCAGCTGCTGCCCAGGTGTCTCCCCTATTAGTATAGGGCCTAGGGCTATACAAAAAATAAAAAGGAGACAGTCTCCTATACCTAGCTTCTATCTAGATATTAATCTTCTTATTAAGTATTGGATAGGAGAGGAGGAGGAAGAGGAAGAAGGAGACAAAAAAAAAAAAAGAGACAATAATAAAGGAGGAAAAGGAGAAGGAGGAGACAGGGAGGAAGAAGAGGAAGAAGAAGAGGAAGAAGAAGGAGAGGAAGAAAAGGAGATAGAAAGGAGACGAATATACCATCATACTCCCCCTATATGTCTCCTTTATTCATTAAGACAATCCTTATTATTAATAGCTAAGGAAGGTCTTGTTAATGTATGGAGGAGACACAAGGAGACAGCAGAATATTTATATAAAGAATTAAATAAGAGACAATTTGAGCTGTATGTACACCCCAAGGAGAATAGGACACCTGCACTTACTACTGTTATTATACCTAATAATATTAATCCTTCTTTTCTTACTAAGTGTCTCCTTATTAATTATAATATAGAGATAGGCATAGGTATAGGCAAATTAAGGGACAAAGTATGGCGAATAGGACTCATGGGGTATAATGCAACAAAAGACAATGTAGATAAACTTATGCATGCATTAGATCAATGTCTAACACTAAACCCTAAACCCTAAACCCTAATTTATTTTTATTTATTTTATTTATTTATTTTTTCTTATATTTACCGTCTTTTTTCTCCTCTATTATATACTATTATATATTATTTATATTTATATGCATATATCTATCTATTTATATATATATATATATATATATATATATATATATATACACTAAACCCTAAACCC